GCGTCTTGAAGCTGTCATTGACAACAAAGGCTTTTGTACAAAGTATTAGATAAATTTCAGTAAGTGTGTTCAATACTTATTTTACCCGCTCTACATGAAAAATGTACTTAAATACAGTGACCACCACTGCCTTTTAGTTACTTTTTATTTTTATTATTTTGTTAAAAAACAGAAACAAACCTGTTCAATTATGTTTTTTAATGTTATAAAAGCACTTGAAGCATTTAGTTCAGTGTAAACTTGAGCTGAATATAGATAAAACTAAAAATTTATCTCAGAAGCTCTGACTGTTTGTCCTGCTGCAGGTTAGTTTTTATATTTCAAACAACAAAGTGAAAAACAAAATCCTTCTAACAAATATTTCATTTCAGTTTTTTTCTGAAACGTAAAGCGTGAGGACGTACCGATGTAGTCGAAGCGGCCCGGGGCCAGCCTCTCTGGGAGGTGGGCCGTAAACAGAAAACAGGTGAGGAAGGCGAAGAGGAGGTGGTAACAATGACTGGAGAGGGCGTCGCTCTGACTGCAGCTGCCCCACAACCACAGGACCACCTGAAGGAAGAACAAAAAAAAGACTTGAATCAGACTTTAACAGCTCTCTGAAGCAGAAATGAGTTTAGGAAAATTAATCCAATTAAAGAATTTAATAAGTGATGAAAGTCGTTTGTGTTGGATTAGACAGGAAGTCAGAGTCTGGATTAACAGAGCTGAATCTGAGTAATAATCTCATTAAAGGCGTGGAACTAATTAGGTCTGATCACTTACATAAGAAAAACAGAGTTTCTTGTTAAAAAGTGAGAAAATCAAGCTGTGAGGCGTCTCACCCTGTAAAACAGAGGAACCGTGTCGAATATAAACGGGACCACGAACGCTCCGGTTCGGAGGACTTTGCTTCTCTTTGGAAACTGCAACTCCACAAATCTGACCAGAAGAAACAACAAATAAAACATTTTGTTTTCAGACTTTTCTGTGTCAGCAGAATAATCAGTTATTTATTTGAGGGCAGAATTCCACAGTTTTTTCTTTTCAAATCTTTTACTTCAACCTAAAAGTTGCTTTAGAATATTTTTTATTTTATTTAACCTTTATTTAATCAGGCAAAACATTAAGAAGAACTTCTTATTTGCAATGTCAGCCTGGCGGGTACCAGAAACACCCATAAGGAAAAGATAAAAGAAACAAAACATCATTCAAACAACGCATCCAAATAACATGGAAAATAAATCACAAAAGATATAACATATACAAAATAAATAAAAACAAAAACATACAGCATAAAAACAGCACAAAGCGTACTCAATTTCATAAAACACATGGCTAACAATGACAGGTCAGAGATGGTAGATGAAGCTCATGTAAAGTTGATTTAAACTGACCTATAGGTAAGAGTAACCGTAGTTTCAGATCACTTTGCAAGTTATTCCATGTGAAAGGAGCTGCACAGCTAAATGCTGCTTCCCAAAGTTTGTTCTGATCCTAGGAACTGACAGTAGGTACATGTTTTGTTATCGAAGGCCCTGCCTACCACACTCCCTCCTCTTCAGAGACCAACACAAATAAGAGGGTAAAAGACCAAGACTTGCCTGTTGATAAAACACTGCCAGTCAATAAGCTCCTGACAGCCAATGGAAACCAACCAGTCAGAGACAGTAGGGTACAATGATGAGTTGAGAACTGACAACCAGTTGCTCCATGATAGGCTGCGTCCAGGAGGTGGAGTGAACGTACTGGGGCATTCATATAAATTAAATCACCAAAAACCAAAATGGAAAGGAAGATGGCAGTGATAAGCCACTTCCTAACGGCCAATGAGAAGCAAAGTTTAAAGGATGTCTAACTGCATCCTCAGTTTTTTAATTAAGGAATCAACATGCATGGCAAAACAAAGGTTATTGTCGATAATAATTCCCAGATGTGTGTTATGCTGCGTTCACACCGAAAGCGATTTCAGCTTCAAAATCGTAGCCAACGCTGAAGTTTGAAGCTTGTGCACTTTGAGGTCAGACGCAGGACAGCTGTTGAAGCGCTGCACGGCAACAGCCGCCCCGCCCCTCCCTCCTCTGTCGGGCTCTGTTTAATGTCGGACGAGGAAGTGGCTTTGCTTTATTTACAGAGAGCCAGAGCGTGTCACGTTCATCAGATAATTAATTCATAATTAATTCACCAGATAATTCAGAGTAGAGGCTCACAGCTCGCTTTCAGGACTATTTTTCCAGTCTGATGAGTCGCTGCCACGCATTGTTGCGGATCAGGACACTGACTGCAGGCACGATTTCAGCTAAAGAGCTCCTCTCCATCTGTTTCAGGTTAGTGGACATCATTCAGTAAACTGTCCCGTCAGGAAATATGTCGCTACGTCACACAGTGGAGTCTCTCTGATTGGTTGATGCGGCGCGTCGAGCTGCAAAAGTTCAGATTTTCTAACTTCAGCGATTTGCGCCTCAGCGCGTCGAACGCTCAGATCGTTCAAATCGCGCTGCTCTAATCGCGCTTGAGGCACCGCAGCACTTTCCGACGCTGCTTGAAGCGCGTCCACCATAGACTTTGTATGTAAACCTGCTGCTCCTGATGCTGAAATCGCGTTTGGTGTGAACGCACCATAAGAGACCACCTCCTCAACGGGGATACCATCAGATGTAAGAAATGAGGCCGCTGGCGGGATCTTCTTCCTCCCAGAAAACAGCATGGACTTTATTTTACCTACATTTAGAACCAGATTCAGCTGAAAGAGTTGGGATTGAATAAAATCAAATGCTGACTGCAAATTTTTCAAGACCAAATCAACTGTCTCAGCAGAGCAATAGAGGATTATATCATCTGCATAAAAGTGTAACGATGCATCTAAACCTCGTCCCACACTGTTAATGTAAACTGTAAAGAGTTTAGGACCCAAAATGGAGCCCTGTGGTACTCCGTTCGAAACACCCAGAAAACCAGAGGAAAGTCCCTCACACTGTACCGCCTGCAAACGACCAGAGATAGTTGTGAAACCAGCCAACAGCATGGGTCGATAGTCCTATATTTAAGAGTCTCTGACACATTTTGTCATGGTTAATGGTGTCAAACGCCTTTGAAAGGTCAATAAAGAGTGCAGCGCAGATTTTCCCAGCATCCAGTGCTTCATAAACATCGACAACCTTCACAATGGTTGTAGTTGTGCTATGGGATTTCCTAAAGCCATACTGGTATGGAGAGAGTATATTAGATTCATCCAGATAATCTATTAATTGGATGTTTACCAGCCTTTCGAATATCACTAATTTGTGTTTTCTAAATAAGGTGAAAACTCGTCTCGTGTCCCCGGCAGCTGCAGCGGGTCGCCACGACTCACAGAGCTGCTGAAATGAAAAGAATTTAAATTGTCTGAGTTTCTGCTGCCCCAGGCTTGAAATAAACCTGGAGCACATGATGAGCTTCACGCTCTCCAGACACTTTTCAATTAGAGCCAGGACGTAAGCTGCAGACAAACAATCACACATTGTGAGTTCAGTTCGTTTCCCCGTAAACAGGAATCCCAATTCCACAAAGCCAGCCTGGCTGTAATCAGGTTTTATTTCCCGATTCCATAAAGCTAACACTGGGACACGAGAGAATTAAAGCCGGAGCGAAGCTTCGTACCTGGAGTAGCAGGACATGCTGGTGCAGAACAGAGTGTTCCCGATGGCGATGAGGACAAAGTGCTGATGGAGCCAGCTGTTCACCCAGCACTCAGGCATCACATAGTATCCATAACTGATGGCACAACCTGCAGACACACACAGCAGCTCAGGATGAAACTCTGGTTCTCCTGGAACAAAACTGTCCTCACATTTCACATTCAAACTTCTTCTGATGCAACATTTAGTGTGTTCTTCAGTAAACAAGGAAGTCAGGATTGTGGAAAACAATCCAGCAGGTTTGTTGCTGTGAAGCTACGACAGAGTTTTGGGGG